CACCTAATTGTAATTACAATATCGTAAAATTAATATGCACCTAATTGCTACGAAAAACGATTCACAGCCGTTGTCATAGAAACTCGAGTTACATTGAAGACTATAACGAACTATAACGAACCAAACTATAACGAACCAAACTATAACGGGAGACTATAACGAACCAAATTTGCCAAATTTGGTGAGGAACGAAAAAATTGCGAGTGAAAAATTTATTTGATTCGGTATAAGTATGTATCTTTAAATTTATTTATTACACCCTTTAATAAAATAAAAATTTCTATCATGTTTATATATCTTCAACCAATCCAACTAAAAAAATAGCACGAGAGATAGTGTTGTCGGCATGACAACAATCAAATAATTCTTCGAGTCCAGCCTGGGCAGGCGTTTTACTCTAAAAAGAAAAGCCATCCTCGACAGGATTCGAACCTGAAATCAGATTCCTTCTGATTCGAAGTCAGACGCCTTATCCTTTAGGCCACGCGGACGATCGCCGGCATGAACGATCGCAAAGACACAAAGCAAATGATGTAAAATTGGCGTGGAAGCGTAGCAAGTTCGCCAAGAATGTTAGCTCAAAAACCCATTTCTAGCCAAACTGAAATTTCTTTACATCACTGTTTTGAACACATTCTTTCACTTATATTTAAAAATAAATGCTTTTAACAAGTGATTATTTCCCTAAAATCACAATTTCTATCATTAATGACATTTTTTTTTCTAATTTTCTATGCATTTTCTTCATTTTAAATTCTAAAACAAGATAGGACTATTTTCCATGTGGTTGGTACATTTTCTGTCATTCTCAATACTACAAGTTATGGTGAAGCAGAGTTATAGACAGTATGGAATAGAAATGCTGAACAAGTGAAGTCACAATGATTGTTAGGGGGAAGGTTCATTCGGAATTATTATGGATATCAGTAATAGGTGATAATATTTGTCTGGCAAAAAAAAAAGTACTGTACACTAAGTTATTTACAAACGTAATATCTTTATGGAGCAGAATTTTCAACAATGGTTTATTTCAAAATATAGGTTGATTCGCGAGAATGTACTCGTGATAGTATAATTGCATAAGCCAATAACACTACGTAACTGCTTCTTATTCGTCGGAAATGCTATGTTCCTTATCTCACGCACCTTTTCTGGATCAGGCTGATGCCTCCCCGAACCGACAACGTGTCCCAAAAGTTTCACATGGGGTTTCACTAAATCACACTTCTTCAGATTCACAGTGAAGTTTAATTTTTCCAACCTCGATAAAATGATATTTAAATGCTGCAGATATTCACTGAGATTTCACGAAAATATGGCGATGTCATCTATATACGCACAGGCAAATTCTCTATAGGTAGCAAGCGCTTTATTTATTACCCATTGAAAAGTAGCAGATACATTTTTCAATACAAAACTCATGACTTTAAGTCTATACATTTGGTGGTGAGTTTTGAAAGAAGTAAAATCTTTACTTTCTTCCGAAATCGGGATAGCCCAATATCCCTTCAAAAGATCCAAAGTAGTTATTACGTTAGCTCTGCCGATCGACTGGACCAATTCCGTTGCGCCTTCTATAGGGAAATCATCCATTACCGTTGCAAAATTCAAAGCCGGGAAGTCGCTGCACAATCTCATGGATTCATCATTCTTATTCACACAGACTACCGGATATGCAATCTCAGCACTGCTTTCCTTGATTAATCCTAATTCCAACAATTATTGGATTTTTTTTTATCTACTTTCCCTTCAGTGCTTCCGGGATTCCGTACATAAAAGGTTTTTCCATTCGACATTTGGCTTTAAACTGATTTTATGAGCATCAACTTTAGCAATGTTTACATTGCCCGTAAACAGTTTTTGGTGCTCACTTAACAATTCCAGCAATTTGATTTCTTCCTCATCTTCCAGATGGCTTACATCAATATGCTTCAATAACTCTTTCATTCCGGGCCTCAGAGAATTTGGAGGGGGGAAAACTTCACCAAAATCTTCATCATCTTCGAATATCACCCCGACTGCATTAACTCTTGGGTAATGCCTCCTTATCTTATTCACGGGACAGTGCCGAATTTTTCCATCACTCAATTTCACTTTATGAGAGTGAAGAGAATTCAATCCAACTATTTCTCCAGGGCCGGTCCACTGCGCGTAGAGCTGGTTCGTTGAATCAGGTATCAATAAGTATACTTTTTTGCCCCTCTGAAAACTTTTAGAACGAGCTTTGCGATTGAAATATCTTACATAAGCTGCTTGTCTTCCGGAGACAATTAATGACACCTGCACAGCAGCCATCTCTAAATTGACCTTTTGTTCTTGTAAGTAGTCCACCTCAGATTTTCCCATGTTCAACAGAATGGCAATGTCACCACACCAGCTAGATTTTAACTTACTCAGAGGATCTCTAGCTGTTCGTCCATATATCAACTTGAAAGGTGAAACTCACGTCGTGCAGTTCAGGACTTCTCTGTATGCGAAAAGCAAGTACGCGATATATTTGTCCCAATTACTTGGATCAATCCTAATCACGTGGTGGAA